CTTTGTTTCTGCGCTGGGGGCATGTTCTGATTACCTTCTATTCACCCTGTTGGTGAGGGAGGGATCCTCCACCCTAAATAATATATACGGTGGCTGAAAACATGACACCTGACACCGGACAGATGAGACTCACCGGAGTTTCTTAATCACATATAGTCACAGTCCAAGGAGGAGAACATACCATGCAGGGCCACATGGGGGTTGCACTTCGGGACAGAGTGAGCAAGCAGAGTTTGGGGGGCCAGGCTTTGTAGAAACAAGACAGTAAGGTGACCCATGCTTCCTGCAGGAGGATCTGATTGCTTGTTTGAGCAATTTGAAGACTGGTAGGGAAGTGAAAAGTGTCAGGTTGAGGACTGGGTAAAGGACAGCTGGTCTGGCTGATAGGGGAACTAACCAGGTGGGGGAATTTCCCGCTGGGTGGGGAGCATATATGACAAGAGCAGGAAACACATGGTTAGGCCTTTGGGGCCTTGGAGGCTCAAAGACGTAAAGGCAGCACACGAAATTTGGGGTCTTACAATACAGGGCATAATATGGGACAGGAATAAAGTATATTCCTCTTCCATATTAGCAACTTCTGTGCTCTTTATAATATCAGCCTGTGTGGGTCACCAATCCAATTTCGAAAGACTTCAATTTAGGGTAAATTACTCCAAGAATCTCACAACAGTTTGAATGTCAATTGCAGGATTTAGGTCGAAATGTTGTCCTAGGTATTTTAGAAGGAATTTGGGGTAAGCTATTTCAAAGACTGCTGTCCAGACATTTTTAAAGTATTGAGAAGATGTTAAGGAAAGTCATAAAAGTTGTACTTCCATTAGCACCAACCAGGGGCTGTAGCAGGACAGTTGTTATAAGAGTGAGAAGATGACGGGTCTCCTGAGCAATGCTTCACCTTACCTCTCTGTGCCTTCAGTCTTTAATCTGTAAAATACAAGAGCTAGTCTAGGTAATTCTAGAGTCCTCTTGTCTCTAAAGTGACCACGATAATTTAAGATGAATAGAAACATTTTATTTCGTATCTATAAGGTCTAATACTCCAGAGTAATTACCTGTTAGTATGTCTCCCCTACTAATCTATGAGCTCCTTTTCTTTTCTTTCTTTCTTTCTTTTTTTTTCAGATGTAAATGAAGATGCGTTGGAGCAATGAGCTCCTTTTCTTAAGCAACTTGGAATGGCCATTCCCTGATACATGAAAATTTCTTAACAAATGATTTTCAAATGAACAAATAAATCCAGCTGAGCAAAGGATATTTGGGCGAATTCTGAACAGTGCCAAATATTTTGGGAGTGTTCTATCACCTCAATAGTCGAACACTCGTTACTAGTTATCTGGGTACACTATTGAAGTATATAACCAAGCTTCACTGTGAGCATTAACAAATGGCACTTGGTGATCCCCCAGACTCTATATGTGGTACGTTTCTTCTCACGTGGTTAACCTTCCTGTCTACACAAGCTAAGAACTGGAGAAGTTTAGTTAGTCCCTTTCTAGACCTAAAGTCTTCCCTTTGTCTCCTTTTGCAAAGATGCTCCTGATTTCAATCAGCTACAAGAAATGTCAGATGAAAAATGGCACAAATGTGAATTATGACAATAAAAGTTTATAAGCTACTAAAATAAAGTTATAGTACCTAAGAGCTGAGTCAACTGACAATGTTAAATGAAACATTTTACAACCAGTCCTGGGATAATGATAGAAAAAAAGTAGCACACAGAACACGAAGAGATGTCTGACAGGAAATGGGCCCAAGATCAAGCTCAGGCTCGACGATTTTGTATGAGCTACCTTTAAAGTGGAGAGAGCAAGGCAATAATCTAATATTAATGGAGTGTCTCCTCTGTGTCCAACCCTTGATATCTATTATCTCTTTTACTTCTCATAATAGCCCAATGACAGAGGTCTTGTCCTTTTAGAGAGGAGAAACCGAGGCTGATGTGGTCCAGTTAGGCAAATGCCCAACAGCAAAACTATTAAATAATAGAGACAATGACTTCAAAAGTCTCTCTGACTCTGAAGCCCATGCTCTTTTTATATTTTTTTTACTCAATGCTATCTATTTACAGAGACTGATAATTTCTATATAAATAAAGCAAATTTTAGGTTTCATGAAGAATCTCTCTATCCAACTCGACGATAATGTTTGTTCCAAGTTATCAATTCAGGTGATGGTCCTCTTTACTATGAAGCTCACCATAAAAATTAACTACATGAAGAATGTTAAATTATAGCTAAATAAGGCAAAAAATGGGCTAGAATGAAGAGCAGCATTAGGAAAAAGCTGAGCACTAAAAATGATACTCAAGAAGAAATATAGGAGCATTATCAAGCATTTGAATAGTTGATATGGCAATCTTTCATTTTATTTTTTAAATAACTCCACTCACAAAATGTTTTGTGTTACTAATAAATTTCCGCTGCCTTTCTCTAACCTTTCTAATACAACATCCTTCTGTCACCCCACAAGCCCGTAATACCAAGTCACAGTTCTTCTCATTTGTGCCCACCACACTATCCCCAGTGACAGATGCAAGCACACCGGCATGCCCAGGGGGTCTGTCTCCTGATAGGCTGGTATTTGCTGTAATTGCACAATTTCTTAGAAATATTATGTTTTACCTTTAAAGATCTTATAAAATTTATATTCTTCTCCCTCATCTGACTTTGTTATAATATAAAGATAGTCTTTTCAATTACTTATTATGGACCAAAATTCATGCTCCAAGAAGAATTAATGTCATGTTAATTCTGAGACTTTGCATACCCTGTGCAAACTTCTCTTACTCTAGCCAGAGAAACACGGTGATAAAATGATATAATCGCGTGACATGCAAAGTGCTGATGTGAAATGAAAAGGACAGAAATATGATTGGGATATTAATTCAAGGGAAATAAGAAAATAGGACTGTTTGAATAGGCTTAGCAGGATGGTTTAGTTCTTCCTGAAAATAAGTGTGATATTATTTCACCTTACCTCTACATCCACCCCAGCTCCCCCCATTCAAGAACAATCAAATGTTTAGTTTCTAAACACACACACACATTAAGAGGACTACACAACACCCAATAGACAGACCTAGAGAGAAATATTCAGTGAAACTGCTCCTAAATACAAAACCATAAATTCCTTTTGTAATGGAATACAAATTAATAAAGTTGGAAGTAGAACTTACAAAATAGCTTTAAACTCAATACCAGATTTCATTTATAGGTCCAAGACTATAATGGACACAAGCTAATTTTTACAGTTGACTCATAATAATAGTCATTGGGAAGTTAAATGACAGAAGAGAAACAGCTTTAAATGGGAAGTGGCAAAATTAATCACAGATGTCATACTTATGCACTTGCTGACTACCAACCTTGAACAGAACACTTAATTCAAACCCCATTTAAAAGCATGCACTGTCAAGGGAGAGGTAAAGAACCATTTTCTAGTTCAGGAAGCAACCCACAACCCATGTGCCAAAGATGGCACTGAAGACCAAACCTTTTGGCACATAGAATGATTGGTCTGGTCCCACACCCCTCTTCACGACTATTGTAGGAGTTGCTCTTACCAAAAAGGCAAGAAAATGTCAAAAACGTTGGCATCTGACTATTCAAAGATGATCAGTGCCTGTTCTCATAATGCATAACATTTTTTGGAAATATTCTGCCCATTCAGAACAGCATAGAATTTAAGTTCTCTCTGTGAAGATAGATTTGCCTTTTAAACAATCTTTTAAACATTCTGTAATACTACATATCTATAATATATTTATTAATACTAAGATCCCATTGCTGTTTTAAAAGCATTGTATATAAATGTGTTGGATATATAATACGTAATATTTCATATAATGTGTTAAATAGTATCTCAAAACCCACTGAAGGAAAATCGAATGTGTGTGCAGAGACAGAGATAGAGATGATATAGATATAGACATTTAGATATAGATTTGGACCTGGAAGGAAAGAGGGAGCTCTAGCAAAGATCCAGCGCAAAACTCAAAGCTTAGGAGGAAAGGAAAAGGAATTACCTTGAATCCTAAATAGTTTCATATATACTCATATAATAGTTTCATATATACCAGTTTGACAATGTAAGGAAGTCGAGATAACTTATTTAGAAGTTTGGTTTTTTTTTTAAGATTGGCACCTGAGCTAACAACTGTTGCCAATCTTCTTTTTTTTTTTTTTAATTCTTCTCCCCAAAGCCCGCTAGTACATAGTTGTATACTCTAGTTGTTACCGCCTCTGGTTGTGCTATTTGGGACGCTGCCTCAGCATGACTTGACAAGAGGTGCCATGTCCTCTCCTAGTATCCAAACCGGCGAAACCCTGGGCCACTGAAGCGGAGCACGCGAACTTAACCACTCCGCCACGGGGCCAGCCCCATATTTAGAAGTATTAAATTGAAGGAATTACTGATCAGGTCAAAAGAATATCTTCATGGCAACCAGAGATTACAAGTAATTAGACCAATAGGGTCTATGATATTATAATAAGGTAACATCGGATTTATCTAAGTTGTCAAAATAATGTAACATCTGGCATCTACACATGTTATCTCACTAACCTCACAATTAGAATATGCAACAGAGTACCTGATCATGGCAAATATTTTTCATTCATTCAGTGTGTATTTGCTGAACAATCCCTATGTGCTGGGCACTGTTATAGATACTAGAAATACAAGGACAAATAAGACAAATGTGGTTCCTGCAAATTAATAGAATAATCAGGGTTACTTTTACAGCCCAGTTCTTCTGACACCTATATTGTGTGATGAAAATTGAATATTTTTGACCTTCAAAATATTTGGGGTCCTTTGCTTGTCCTTTTACTATTTATTACAGAATTAAATGAATTTTGACAATGAGTTTCAAATCAGCATTTTTGCTTTGTAGATATTGTTGAAGCAAACAAAGCTCTATGAATTATGGAATGATAAAATATTCACAGAAACTTACAATTCTGCAGTTGAATAACAATTACATTTGTTCCAAACAGGCAATTGGTTTCCAAACACATTAAACAAAGGCAATTTAGAAAGCTGCTTCTTCTTGGCATCATTAACATTGTTGAATGCCCTGGGATTCTGGAGTGTTTCACAAAGGTAAGTAAGTGTGTGGTAAGATGAACAATTTCTGAGTCTGTGAAATATTGATCTGGGAACCTCCACTGAGCCTATGGGAATCCTGTATGCCATGACTGGACAAATTAGCATATTAGAGAAATTTAACAGATTATTCAGAGCAAGAAATTTCAATTTAGACTTCGCTTTTTCCATCGATCCTTATAATAAAAGAGTGCTTTACTCAATTCTAAAACATGTTTTAAAACAAGATTTTTTCCGAATATCTAGTACCACTTTAGAATTAGAAATAACCATAAGGATAATAAGAATGAATGAGTCATTATCATTAAAAGCAAATATCATTAAACAAATAGCTAGAAATCTAATGATGCTTAGGATTTGGATTCCATTCAGGCCTTTAAATCAGCAGTGACCATTTCAAGGTCAATAACTATGCAAAATCATTTAGTTAGTCACCTGAGACCATCAGTGGCTTAATATGTATCATCTACCATCCATCCATCGCCAGCCCACCTCTCTCTCTCACTGATGTATTCTTGGATGGCTGTGTGCTTTTGAGCAAATCGTCTAACTTCTCTGAGCCTCTATTTTCACACATGTAAAATAAAGACATTAATACCAAACTCTTGTAAGCTTTAGGGAGATGAATTTTGATAAAGGGTCAAGTACAATGTCTGCCACATAGCAGGAACTAAACATCTTCATTTTCCTCACTTCCCTCCATGCATTCACCTACTTAGTGATATTTTGTCCCATCCATTGTCACTTTTCCATTGCCTAAATCATTCTTTTATTAGTGTAATAAATCTCTTTTGGAACATCAACTGTGTGATGGGTACTGTAGTAAACTAGAAGGACACAAAGTCAGTAAGTCAATAAATGTTTAGTGCCGCCTATGCTCCTGCTCTCATGGAGCTTATGATCTAATATAAGAGAGGCAGTTAAATCCCATGCAAGGCAGAATTAATGACAAAAATCACAAGTCTTAATGGTTCCCTGAATTTTTGAATTTCTTACCCTCCAAAGTGTATGTTACTAAATTGACCCTCCACAGTGGATAATTTTTCTAAAATGCCCATCTCGTTCTTAGATTGAAAACCAAATCAGAAAATCAGAGGGGCTGGCTCCGTGGCCGAGTGGTTAAGTTTGCACGCTCTGCTGCGGTGGCCCAGGGTTCGGATCCTGGGCGCGGACATGGCACCACTAGTCAGGCCACGTTGAGGCAGCGTCCCACATCCCACAACTAGAAGGACCTGCAACTAAGATATACAGCTATGTACAGGGAGGGGTTGGGGAGATAAAGCAGAAAAAAAGAAGAAAAAGATTGGCAACAGTTGTTAGCTTAGGTGCCAATCTTTGAGAAAAAAAAAGTACTGAGGACTCCAAACAGCTTTAAAAAAAAACAAAAAGAGAAAAGAAAAGAAAATCAGAGAATCTTGCAGAAGGATCCAACAGGAATGTCCTTAGCTTTATAGCAAAATATAGTCAGCAAGGAAAATGAAGCTGAAGTCAAGGCCTCTTGCCCCTCCATCCATTGCCTCCAAACACACAAGTGGTGCCCATCTGCCAATTCTCACAAACCTATGCTGTTTCTGAATTGCTACTTTTTATCCCACTATAAGGTTTGTCTCTTGTCTTTCACAAAGTAGTTTAAAAGGCAATCTCTAGAGCCAGCCTCATTGAATCCAGTTCCATAACTTAGCTGTACAAGTTTTAGCAAGCTGTTTAACCTTGCTTAGGCCTCAGTTCCTTCATTTCTAAATTGGAAACAATAAGAATAGTAGCTGTGCCATAAAGTTGTTGTGAGGGTGAGTAAATGCTCAAAAATATTAGCAATAGTAATAATAATGGCCTCGTACTTTGCCTATGCTCCCTTCTTCCTCCTCTTTATTCTTCTTCTAGACTCATACTGAGTGTGGCCAAAATGACCATAATTAGGGGCTGAGTTCAGATAGAAGTAGCACTGGAACCAGAGTCTATTAGCTCAAGGATGTACTCATTCATTTCTTCATTCATCCATTCATTCAACCAACATACTAAACATTGTTCCAGGCACTAGAAAAATAGAATTGAAGAAAGCAAAGTACCAGTCTATGTGGAGCTAACATCTAATGCTCAAATTAAAATATTTAAGTGTGATTCTTTCTCTATGAATGTTAAGTAAGTGAGTTGAGGGATGGTAGAATGTGGTACAGAGAAGGAGGCAAGAATAAAAACATAAAAGCACCAGAGATTGGAGGAATGAAAGATAAGAAGGGACTAAGTAATACCATAGGATTTATTTAGAAATAAACCTGATTCTTACCAAATCTTCTCCATCTCCTGTACACTTTATTTTCTCCTCCGTACTTTTTGAGAAAAGGAAAAAAAGAGAGGATGAAACAAAGCAGAAAGGAAAGAAATTAACTGTCCATGTGTTGGGCACTCCTGTATATTAGGCAGCATTTTAGACACATACAAATGACCTCATTTAATCTCCACCACCTTCCTGTTACATAGATCTTATCACTCTACTTTATAAATAAGAAAACTAAAGTGAAAATCTAGGTAAGTAAATTGACTAAATTCACACAACTAGGATTCAAACCCAAGTTTGTTTATCTCCAAAGCCCATACACTTTCTCCTGTACTGTGCTGCTTCTAGGTGCCACAGAGGAGACCTCTACCTGCTCTCTGACAACCCCTTAACTCTGGTGGGTAGAGAAGAAACCAGTCCTTTCAGTTAAAGTAGCTATACTTATCCCCACTTGTTGATCAGCCACTCCACAGGAAAAGAATGGAGTCATATATCAGAAGAAAGAAGAATCTGGAAAATTTCTTCCTGGCAGAGATTAAGTAGCTAAAACCAACTACATTCATGCAAAGTCACACGTTGCCTTGGGTATCTATTGTCCACTGGGATTGGATGAGCCAAGGCAGAAGTGTTAGGCAAGAAATTGTACAGAATCGAAGGCAGTAAGAGCAGAGTCTGCAGTGAGGAGTACACGATTCCAATATATTTCTGTACTGACTGTTGTTGTCAAATACTGAAGAACAATAAGCATGCAAAGAAACAGGAGAAAACACAGGTGTCCCAGGGACAGCATTATTGAAACATATTATTTATGAGTCAGATAGTGTTTGATCTTAATACATGTCCAGTTTTTACTAAACCCAAAGGCATATCTGATCAAGCCAGATAATGGTAAAATATCTGTTAAGAACAGCCCCAAGTTTTTCTTGCCCCCAAGATCTTGAGGACAGTGTATTAATTATGAAACGGCATCCTCACCAATATACACATGGAATTAGGTGTGCATTACCCCTGGGGGCACTCCCACACCAAGTTTATATTAGTGTGATGCAATCCTGGTCTAAGTCCTAGAACCAAACCAGTCTTGTCAGGGTGACTGGGATGTCACCTGAGTATGGTTAAAGATTATCCGTGAATGTCAACCCAGACTTACCTTTCATTCGTACCCCAATAACCCCAGCCCCTGCCTCTGTCTGTATTAGAGTTCTCCTCAATCTAATCTGAAATAGAGCAATGGTGACATGTCATACCCAAGGCTCTCCAGGTTGGGGGAGAAGGAAGTAGGTAGATGAAACATCTTTTCCTTGCTGAAAAGTATTATACAAACATCTCTATAGTGCATAATATAAATACGAATCCTACTCTGGGTGCTAAAATGAAAACATACTACACATATTTCTGGGGGGAGGGAACAGAAGAGCATTTGTTTTTATAACTTGACACCATTGTCCCTCCAATGTTGTAAAAGGCACCTTATAAAGCTGATATCATTGCACTTATTTTGTCAATGATACCAGTAATTTTTGTGCATAAGCTGTGACAATTATTGAAAGCAATATAAATCTCAGACAAATGACTAGTTATTCAAGCATATTCTTCTCTTACAGCTATTTTCAGCAATATATTGAGAGAAGGAAAAGAAGGCAAAACTAACTTTGGAAACCTTCACGAATCAAAAATAGATGTCTGATCCCAGAAACTTATGTATTTTTGGTACAATTAAACTTGTAGCCCATATTCATTTGTTCATTCAACAAATACATATTGGACATCTGCTATTACCAGGCACTGATCAAGGCACTAGGAATACAGCAGTGAATAAAGCAGTCTGACATTCCTACCCTTCGCTCGCTCAAAAGTGTTTAAGAAAATAATTTGTCTTTAGATGCCATAGAGGGAACAGACCAGGATTCAGAGTCAGAGAGGTCTGGTTCCAAACCCAAGATCTGCCAACTACTATTCACATGAACCCTAAGCAAGTAATTTAGCATCTTAGAACTTTGGTTTCCCTATCTGTGAAATGAGGATGATTCCATCCCTCTCGGGTTGTAGTGAGAATTCAATAAGTTAGGGTGAGTGTAGTGCCCTAGCATGGTGCCTGGTACCTAGAAGATACTCAGGAAAACAAGGTTTTTCTTGGGTCAGGGGTGGAGGGTACACATTCCAGAAATATATTCATGGATTTCTTCTTTGACAGTGGTGTTTTCCACATAGTCTCAGCATCCAGTTTACAAATTCCCAGTATATCTGATAAACTTTTCATAAGTTCTGGCTGCCATGAAATCTGTAAAGTTGATAGGATTTCAGCCTTTCCGGTCTGTCTTTCTGTCAGGCTCACTACAGGTTGTAAGAGCGCCATCTAAAGGTCCTATGAGACGCCTTAATATGTACTAAAACTCTCTTTGTCATTTCGTAAAGAGTGTTCTGGTGAGCAGCGCTCTTAAATAATCATCACTGTTGTGCCAGTATCTATGGGCCCATAATAAAAGATAGACAAGCTCAGGAGCAAGCAAATGATTTATCCAGTCATCTACATCTGGTCCTAAAAAAAAGCTTTCTTTCTTTCTTTTTTAGATATTGTAATCTAAATCATTTTAATGCCCAGAACATCAGTGGAAGTAATCTTGAAGAAACACTTCTCCTCCATGAAAAGTCTCTGAAAGTTTATGGCAGTACACAGGAATTTTCTTCAAGTATTGATCTTTGGGAGACAGCCCTATGAAACTGTATTTGACTCTACCTGTCTTATGTGCAAAGTTTTCTTCAACTGAGCACTTTACGCGCTTTAGCTTAAGAGCTAATATGTATGGGAGTGGCTTTATGAGTATTATCTGTGTACTTTATTTGCAAAGACTAATTATGACTCCTCTAGTGAACTATTATGCTTTTGCATAAACGTTATGCATTAGAATTAATAAAGTAATTTCAAAGTCTCAATGATTACTCTATCACAACAAAATGACAGTTTCCTATACATCACAGTACTTTACTAAATACTAGTAAATTTACTAAATAAAGTAAAAAAATTTACAATTTTTACAATTGTTCAGCCATTAAAAGCAACAAATATGATAATTTTTAGTTTTAATGTGCCATTAGAATCAAAATAACAGTATGCAATATTCTTCCTTTCAATACATTTATCCAGCACTTCTTGCATGCCAGGCATTGCGATCGTATCCTGCCCATGTCTGAGTAAATGATCAATCTGCATATGATTTTACTATATTTGATCTTGATATTATGCTATCAAGATACAAATTGATGAAGGAAATTTTCTCTGAATGAAAATCAACGTTCCTAAAATAGAGGTCCTAAACAAAGAGAGAATATTCACAAACTGAAGAAGTTATAAAGTAAATGTAAATGATGGAATTATTGAGATTAAAGGAAAGAAGAAAATTAAGAAAGGTTAAGTGAGTATGGAGAGAAGGGTGAGGGATCAAATCAAATGGAGATGCTCCCCTAACCCAAATGGTATCTTTTGGTCTCCAATGCTATCAATTCAGAGGCATGCAGAAAATTGTCTTCCAAAAGAGATTCTCCCTATAAAAGCAAAGAAATGTGGAAACTCATGCAAAAAAATAATAAACTAATGTCAAATAAAACTAACGTCTCATACTTTTGTAGCAGTTCCTGTCAAAGTTTGGTTGAGGACCACCTGCTTTAGGGGAATCTTTCTGGCCCCTGCCAAAGACTGCCTTAACATAAGTCCAGGAATCAGTGGTTTTAATGAACACACCCCATCATTCTCATGCTCCCTAAAGGTTGAGCACCACTGCTTTCCAGGACAGTTCATGCTGGATAGGATGGGTAGGTTTATCAGCTGATTGCAAATGATTCTGCAATTAAGCACCTCCCTTGTGTATACCTAAAAAATTTTAGATCAGCAGAATAAAAAATTTATTCATCTTGATTAGATATGATATGCATTTTTAATTGCGAAAGAGCAGCTGTAAAGCACCAGGTGTTTCTCTTACTCCAACTATTTTTCGTTTATTTGCTTGTTTGTTTTGAGGACAAATAGAAAGACTGGCTCTTACAGACATAAATTCTTGCCCTGTAACTTTTTCGAATCCTTCTTTTCTTAGTATTTCTTCTCTGACAACACAGTGAAGCCTACCCCCGATATGCCGTCGAAACTTTCTTTGCTGGAAAAGGTTAAATGCCAAGTTTGCAATTTGGGTTAATGAACACTCAAAAGATCAAGAAACCTTTAAACAGCTCCCCTCAGTACGAGTGAGAAACTCTATCAGTCTCTCTCACTGTTAGAAAAAGGGTCTGCCTTATTTTGTTGTTTTTCCCCCAAATTTGCCTTCATCTCCTTAATTTCTACATCATAATAGAAAAAGGTGCTCATTATGCTTTCACTTACCCGTAGAAATGAAAAGAGATCTACAGAATTATAAAATTGACCCAAAACAAAGACCAAAAGAGCTTAGAATTCTCACATTGAGGTTGACACTCATGATTAGCTAAATTGCAGTAGCTACAACATGCTTCCATTCGGAACAGGATGCATTCACACAGCAGTTTCTTCTCTAGTGCCTAGCAACATTATCATTGAGCACCTGGAATAGTTTAGGCATTAAGTGTAATTGGTTTTGCTTTACATAAATCTGTAGCTTTGTAAATAAGCGGAGCATTTCAGCTTCTATATAACACCAATTAACTTAAAGGGATGCGTTGTTTGCAGAAGCCTGCTGGGTCTGTACTGTATTTCTCCAGTAATATGCTCAGTGGCAGGCAAAGTTCTGTGTCCCTGCAGTGTTCCATTTACTCCCAGTCACTTGGTGCCAAGGCTCTGTACCCAGCCACTCATTTGCTCCATTTTTCAGTTGTGAAAGATTGGGAAAATGAAGTCTTCCCTAAGAAGCACCTTTTGTGCTCTATTTCCGTCCATGATTGAGACCTGAAAGGCAAGGTATTTGAAAATGTTTTCTGTGACCCACAGAGCACAGGTCTGACCCCATCTGATTCTGTCCACAAATGACAGTGACATCTCTTTCCTCTTCCTTTTATTGGTAACACTTTAATCCAATACATCCAAAAGTCTACTACACTGAGCCTGTATACAAAATTAAGAAAACCACATTCTTCTTATATGAATTTGCTAGTGAAAATGTTTCCTTTGGAGTGGTTTTTTTAATAGCACTCAGAAATCTGCTCCTGGAAGCTGGTCAATTTTTCCAAGCTCCTTGGACACTTCCCCTTGTTATCTCTTTACTCGACTTAATCCCTTATCTCTCATAGCCCCTTCAGGTAATCTTGATTTATAGCATTCATTCCACCCTGGCCAACCTCTAATGCTCTTGGTTTCTGAAAGTGTTTTATCGACTATCAGAATAATAATATCATCAAAAAGTAGCTCATGATTCCAAAATGTTTCCTATTAATATTGTGTGATTTACAAATTGAAGGAGAGAGACCCACCCCTGCTGAACATTGTCAGGATTCCTTGTTTTACGAGAAGAGAGCTTCAGCATCAGTACCTTCAACCAGTCCAGCAATGGCATACACCACCTCCCCTGCAAGAGAAGCCAGTGTACAATTACCAGTCACAGGCTTATGGGTAAAGCCCTCAAATAAAAATCAACAGCCAAGTGATGACAGCACACAGGTGCTGCTAAAATTCAGGTCTGCTGTATGGAGCAGGGAAATTAAAGGAACCACTAACAATAACAACTCATATCTATGTCACCCATTACAGTTTACAAGTTGCTGTCACACACATCATCACATGTGATTAGCACCACCCCTCTGGGAGGTAGGCACATTTTGGCAAGCCCATTTTGTAAATGGGAAATTGCAGCTCTGAGACATTAAGTGATTTGTCAAGGGTCACAGAGATAGAAATGGCACAGACGGGACTTGAATCTTGTTCTGTGTGTCTCTAAAGTGCCAGCTCCTTCTACAAACAGCTCTCATAATGTCACCAACACTGGACATCCCCAACCACTTAGGCAAAACACTCTCTACATCATCCAAAAGGGAACAAGAATGAGAGGAAAGACCATGTCGAGATTAGAGACCCTGAGAAAGTGGTTCACAAAAAACATCCATCTTTCTACCATTTCTTCCCCCTCAATCCACTTCCTCTATGGAGCCCTACACTGGCCACTTGCGAACCTCAGGCTTTCAGAAGCACCCACTGAAAAGATCCACCCAGACTGACCAGATTGGGGGGATGTCTCAGCCTCAAAAATGTCCTTTCCTTCTCCTTTTATCAAAATGCTCTGGATGTGCTACAGTCAATTCCAAACTGCTTTAGAAAAGAACAATTTGAGAAAAACAAATTTATCCCAAAGAATATTATTAGTAATTGTGAAGACTCTTGCAGTACTTGCTAAGTGCAAAACACTGTTCTAAGTATTTTTTTATATATTAGCTCACTTAATCATCACAATAGCCCTATGAGCCAAGTACAATTGTTAACCCCATTTTACAGATAAGAGACGTGAAGCATAAAGGAGCCAATAACTTTCCAAAGGTTATACAAGCAGTGTGGACAGAGCAAAAATTTGGACCTAGGGAGTCTGACTACAAATTCTGGGCGCTAGCCCTCTCTATAAAACTGCCTCTCAGCATAGCTGGTGTCTACAATGGATCTTTATATATTCTCAGGGTGATTCCAGGGAAGAACACGACTTAGCCAGTGTATTTCAGTCTTTTTCTGTCCCAACACACAATAATATGACTTCTTCCATTGGTAATTGCTAGATTGAAACAACAGCGATTCTTAACACCCCTGGGTTGTGCCCCTTCCCTCTCCTTCCGTGTATATTACTGATTCCTGCTTTAACCCAAAGGCAGGATTCTAAGGGCAGAATTTCAGGCTCTGTGGTAGTGAGTTTCTACATCTATCTAAGAATTGTTATATGGGCACTTTTCTAGTGCTCCTCAAATTACAATGTAAGCCATCTGTTCCTCAAATAAAGCAGTCATCATGAGATAAAGATGGAACATGAGGTCAACTACATTCTTCACTTCCTTAGCATCTACGCAGACATTCTCTGGGATTCTTCCAGCCCTATTCTTCAGTGAGTGTAAAATTGCCAAAGATGATCAAGGATAGTAATGACAAGACTCAGTCTCTCTCTTTTTCTCTCTCTCATTCTCACCTTCTCTTTCTCTGTCTCTGGCTATGTGTCCCACTAAGGTTGTCTACAGTAGAATACATGCTATTTGACCACCAAGATCATTTCCCCGGGGGTTCCCTGTCATTAGCTCACTCAGAGACCTTACTAAGTATTAAATAATAATGGCACCCAAACCCTAATCTGTCACCCATCTTGGACAGGTTTGAATCCCTTTACTGGCTGGGAATCACGTTGTTTCTTAAGCCTGCTAAACCACAAGTGACCAAACCTCATATACATGGAGTAATGAGTCAATAGCCTATGACAAGTGTCTATTACCATGGTAGCAGCAAGTCAGGAGCACATTTAATGACATTTATGCAAAGAGCAGGGTAGCAATTCAACCAAGGATAAAAAATGGAGAAAAATGAAACCAGTGGGAAGCAGAAATTTGGCAAAAACCAAGGAGAAGTCACCATAACATCAAAGATACTACCAAAAAACATATGAGTCATCATCATGGACAGTTTTAATTTTCCCAAAGCAATTTCTTGAAGGAAAATGAGAAAGAGGGTAGCGGGGATATGCTAAATCTTAAAATAAGAGAAAGAGCTCTTCTGTCAGAAATGCCGGAGAGGACGAGTGAGCTTCAAAAGCAAGAGCAGTGAGAGGCCATCTGGGACACTGATTTCTCATTTTGGCATAGTGTGTTGCACACAGTAGGTTGCGTTGATTCATATGAATTGATTATGACCCCCTCGAGCATGCCAGAATGCTTTTTACCATTTTCCCAAGCCTCTCTTACACGAGTTAAACCTTTCTGCCCAGTTTCCACAGTGTCTCTAGAAATGCAGACTTTTGTTTCCCGTGCAGCTTGTGCAGTTCTGCCTTGTTTCACTGCAGCCAACCGTGCCTGAAAGACAGGAACAAACAAGATGGACAAGTGTGGCAGTGAATGAACCGCTTTACTGCAATTAGAAGTTCACGGAGAATAAATTATCCTCGAGTTCAAGCTGTCCAGCAGTAATTCTCATTAATAATAACACTTCAACAACAGTCTGCTTCCCACAACGACAGTGAGTGCGAGAAACTTTATCATTACTCTTGAAGCAGGAGTCACATCCCAGAAGGCTAGCCCGGATCACCATATGCAGCACACCAGAGAAGTCTTAAATTATAAAGAAGCTTGAATGCATAGCTGTCCATGAAGTTCACTGGCTAGATGAGCAGGTGGAAAAAAACCCAAGGGCTTCTCTCTTTCAGCTTTCTCTTCTAATTCATGCTAAATTATAAATGGTATTTTACGTTGATGAGTAAGTCTATCTAAAAGGATACTTTTCTCTCTTCTTGCCTCATTGAGGACTTCTCTTTTACTACAGTATCCTTATTTCCTACAAAAGTCCGCAAGGTTGTAGAGAATATGTGGTCCATGAAACAGAAATTTTTGTGGAGATACATATCTCCACATATACGTATATATATGTAAATATATACATATACATATACATATACATATACATATACATATACATATACATAGATAGGTAGATAGATTGATAGTTAGAGAGGGAGACAGTTTCAGCCAGTAGTTGATGCTGGCTATCCACTAGGAACCTTTGTTCCTCTCTGTGTGGGCCTCTTCATGTTGTCTCTCTATATGGGTTACTTTGCTTCTTTGGATCTTGGTGGCTGGTCTCCAAGGGCAAGTATCCCAAAAAAGAAAGCCAGGCAGAACCCTTATTGCCTTTTATGATCTAGCCTCAGGGGCTACACAGATCACTTCTACTGCAGTCTATTTGTTGAGACAGAAAGTCCTGTCTGAGTTTAAGGAGAGGGGAAATAGATTTCATCTCTTCATGAGAAGTAGTGAGATTCTAGAAATTGATCTGGGACCAGAATGTTGCTGTGGACATTTGATGTTTAAAGATGAACAGATATCTATTAGACAAACAAAGGGCAGTAGTAGGAGCATTTCAGGTAACGTTAGGAAGTAGCACAAGCAAAATACCAAAGTATGAAATACACAGCTTATTCTGAGAACTGAAAGTCATTTGGACTTTTGACTGCAGCAGTTGGTTGACTGGAGCACAAGATTCAAGGGCAGAATAATATAACAGATTTTTGTTTCAAAAAGAACACTCAGTCAAAAACATAGACTATAAATTGGCAGGAACTAGACAAGTGTTCACCCAGTTAGATGACTATCTATAAGTGAATATTGGTAAGAGATAATGAGGTCTGGGGTTAGGGTGGCAGTGCTGGAGATGGAGAAGAGGGAAGAACATAAGAGGATCAAAGGCAGAATAATAGGAAGGAACTATTTATTGAATTTCTACTGTGCATTTAATTATCTCATGTGATTTTCACAATGACTCTATGTGCCTGGAATTATCATTGTCTTCCTTCTATACATAAGGAAACTGAGACATGAGAGGTCAAGCTACTTGCCCATTTTCCCGCAACTAGAACTCGGATTCATAGAGTCCGACACTGAAGCCCACATATTTATTTACTTAGCTATACTGATTGGATGTGGTGATGAAAAAGGAAAAGGAATCCAGGATCATCACCAGGTTTCTGACTTACGCAACTAAGTGACTGTTAATGCCACTTAACTAGATAAAGAAGTACAGGACAGGGGAACGAGATAGTGGAAAGGATACGAACGTGTTTGTACATAATGAATTTGAGGTGTATGAAGGAAATTGAGCGGAGTTTTAGAATACCCAGTATAATTGGTTTTGTTCATACAGAAATGAATCAGAGGCATCAAGCATTTATACTTAAAAAGGACCTTAAAGAACATCTAGCCAAATTTTTATTTTATAAATGAGGAAATCTGGGCCCTAAGAGGTGATGAAACTTGCCCATTGATAAACATATATTTAGCTGGTAAAGCTTCCAGCACTTCTGACTCTCAGTCTAGCTCAGTAGAGTATGAATTCTCCAAAGAATCATTAGGGAAGAAGAAAAGTGTCCATAGTCAAGTGCTGGATTAAACAAATAATTTAGTTTGATTTTTTCAGGACTTCTCAGAGGCTTTATTATGTACATTTGGAATAGCTAAAAATGGATTTGGTATTCAAAGTTTTCGAATTTATGTGGCCACGCAATCTTTACTCAGAGAACACTTCCCAGCACTGATCTTGCTATACATTATTAAAGTGGGCAGGGTGGAAAATACATAGGCTTTGAAATCAGATAAGGTTTCAATGTCTCTACCATGTAGTAGCTGGGCAGCCTTTGCCATGTCATTTAATATCTCTGAGCCTTAGCTTTTACATCTTGGAATAGGTTAAGAACATACTCTTCACAGAACTTTGTACATCAACATATATATAAAGAATGTGGCAAAGACCCTCAGACATGAAGTGGTCAATACAAATTAGTCACTCACTATTTTCTCCTCCTCTTCAACTAGCAATATTTATTGGATATCATCTATACTCCCAAAACCATACACAAATATATATTCATTACTACTATATTCTTCACTGTTATTTCAGAAAAACTAAAATCATTCAGTCGTATCCTTTTATTTTACTCCAAATAAAATTTTTATCCATTAATATCAATCACTTTGTTACCAAACCCTAAATTCTTCCAATTTGGGGGCCAGAAGAGATGGAGGAGCAGAAATCTCTTATCAGAACAAAAAGTCCCTGTTAATTCATCATAACAAGTCTACATTTCATGGATTTTAAAATTTCTCCAGATACACAATTAACATGTCTCTTCTTCCTTGGTATTTATAATTGAATTATAAATGGATTTATTGTTTCATACAGATTATCACTATATAAGATGGAAAGAAACTGTGATGGTTAATTTACGTGTCAACCTGACTGGGCCATGAGGTGGCCAGATTAAACATTATTTCTAGGTGGGTCTATGAGGATGTTTCCAGATGAGATTAACATTTGAATCAGTGGACACTGTAGATTGTCTTCCCTGTTGTGGGTGGACGTCATCTAATCCATTGAGAGCCTGAATAGAACAAAAAGTAGAGGAAGGGAGAATTCATCCCCTTCCTACCTGCCTACTTGAGCTGGGTCATTGGTCTCCTGCCTTCAAACTGAGACTTTCACCATTGCTCCCCTGATTCTCAGGGCTTCAGACTTGGGCTGGAATTACACCACTGGCTTTCCTGTGTCTCCAACTAGCAGAAAACAGTTTGTAGGACTTCTCAGCCTCCATAACTGTGTAAGCCAATTCTTCATAATAAATCTCCATATGTATATTCTATTCGTTCTGTTTCTCTAGAGAACCCTGACTAACACAAAGTTGGTACTGACAGTGGTTCTAGAGAAGCAGAATGTTATGAATGAGTTTTCTGAAATGCTTCTTGAGTTTCTGGAATTGGCTCTCTAATCTAATTATATTTAAAGATGCTAATGACTCTTCCATATCCGGTAGTTAAGAGGGCACTGATAGTCCATGGTATGATCTGGCAATAGAGATATGCAAAACATCTGCATTGGCTACTCTTAATCAACCACTTATAAGAATCAAGAAGCTAGGTAACTGTCTATCATATTTTCAAGTATTTTTGAAAAACTAATGAATATAATGACATTGACTGGTTGCTCCTAGACAAAGTGGTGAAAGAAAAGGATGAGCGCAGGGGTTTGAATTCCCAGTTCAAACACCACATAAGTGACCTAAGAGTTTCTATGTGTGTCCTGAAGGAGACCCTTATCTCCTCTAGCTACAGGGCTGAAATTGCTGAAAATCAAGTTCAGAACCATCCTGTGACTGGTAGAATTATGACACAAGTTGAAGTTCTAGCCTCACGGGGTGTTTATTGTTAAAGTGATGGCATTGATTGAGAAAGAATAGGTTCCTGTAAGTTGGAATGGGAATGTGTGGGAAGACCTTGATGAAGCCAGGGACATTAGGCCTCTAAATTCTGATGAGTCTTTGCCAGTGGAAAAGATCTCCCCACTGCCAGTGGATCAGTCTCTACACCCGTAATATTATTGACTTTTCTACTTTATCTGAGGAGATTCTCTCTGCATTGCCTGAGGAAACTGTAATGGCTTCTCCTGAGACAGTTGCCATGCAAGACAATACTGAGTGTCCTTAGGACCTGTCCCACCACACCTCTTTGCTCCTAGACCTATAGTTAGACTCAAATTCCAGCAGACTCCAAACGATGAGGTACAACGTGTAACCCATGAGGGGATGCATTACACTCCAGAAGAGTGTACATGAGTTTTCTAATATACACAGCCAGAAAATCAGGGAACATGTGTGGCTATGGATACTAAGAATATGGGATAGTGGTAGAAGGAATATAAAGTTGGATTGGGCAGAATTTATTGATAAGCGTTCACTAAGCCAAGATTCTGCATTTTAATGTCAACCAGAGAGTTAGAAAGGGCTCTCTAACAGTTTGTTCAGTTGGTTAACTGAAACATGAACCAAAGGGTGGCCCACAGTGAGCAAACTGGAAAAGCCCAACCTACCTGAGTTTAATGTATTGGAAGGGATTCAAAGACTTAGGGAGATAGGAATGTTTGTGTGGATTTGTCATTTAAGACCTACTCACTCACATTTGGAGGGTCTAGAAGACTTTGGTGAAAGCACCAATACTATGATAAACAAATTTTTGAGGGAGCCCCAGCATCCTTAAAGAACTCTGTGATCATTATTCTCTGTAGGCCAGTCACAGAATTGGAAAACCTAAATGCAATAAGAGTGATTGGATCCCAGGGTGGCAGGGGCCAAGTGGCAGCATTCAACTACCAAAGGCTGGGTGGGAATGATTACCATAAAGGACAAAAGATCAAACAGCAATCAGAATAACCTGACTTACACAGACCTATAGTATTGGGTAGTTGATATTGGTGTTCCTAGACATGAAATGCTAAATTCTTACTTGATCTATATAGGCATAAAAGTTCTAGT